TATTGTTATTTTTTCCAGGGTGCAGGGAGGTTGCTTTTTTTTTTTTTTTTTTTTTTTTTTGGTGACCTACCTTCGCAGCGAGGAAACGGGTGGTCCCAGTTGCGGGTGGTGCCGTGCTCACAGGTGAGGATGGAATGTCCCATCAGTTGATATCCAGGCAGACACTCGAAGGAAATGGACTGGCCCACATTATAGCCTGCGCCGACCACCACTCCATAACGGAAAGGTTCTGGATCTGGGCATTCCTGTAGCTCATATGCTGTAGCAAAAATAAGAACAAATGATATTTATTTAAATGATGGATTCTTTTACTTAAAAAAATATATATTTTAAGGTTAAATTTTGTGATGATAATTGCAAATTATGTTTTCATTAATTGTGGAAATCTCTGCAGTGTCAGAATGAGGCAGGATGTTGGAGCGACATCTCGGCGACAAATCCAAATCTGGTCATTACATTTTTTTAGCTAAAAATGTATTTTGTTAAGGTTTTTTTTTCTGAAGTATTATGCAATAGTTTTCCATTAAGCTACAAAGGAAAACTGTAGGGCTAAAGGGTTTTTTCTTGTTTTCTGAGGAAAGAACATTTTCAATTCAGCTCTCTTCCAAAATCTCTGACAAGACTTTATACATTAAATAAATATACTCCTTTAAAAAGTAGTTCCTGTATTATCTTTGTAAACGTCGAAAGAGTACCAGTGGTGATGCTGTGTTCGGCACATGAACAAATCAGTCTAATGGCCATTTATGTAATTTTTGAACAAATCTGTAGTGCTCTACACTAATAAAGAGTTGGAAAGTGATTAACGTAAATCCCTATATCTTTCAAATACAGTATATCACAAGGTTCTAAGAGATTTCACAGAGTAGTTTTCTTTCTTTTCTTTTTTTTTACATTTCCACACTTTCCTTTTTGGCCTACATCCTAGCCAGGTAAAGACATCACATGTTTTTCTTCTCTTTGACTTCGTACTCTCATCTACTGCTAAGTGGCCAATGCTTTTGTAATGATCCTTCATTTTTCATTTTAGTTGCTTGAAGTACTAAAAAAAGGACGATATTGACTTAGTAGTTTTGGAGTTTGTTCTGTGACCAGTGGGTGGCTTTGGAGTCCTCTGACTTGATGAAACATACGATTGCAGATCATTTACCATATAAACAGGTTTCTCAAAATCTCAATGATTTTGTCAGTTTTAATCACAAATACAGCCTAACTAGGGCTGAACATTTATTATTTTCCCTCAAGACACCAGTATGGGAACAAAAACACTTCATAGCCACCAGTTCCAAAATCTTTGATCACTTAAAAAATTAGACGATTAATACTCACTTTTTTTATTCTTCTCACATAGTTAAGCTCAAATGTTTTCAGAGTACAGCAAAGATATATATATATATATGAAAGGAAGAGTTCTTTTGCTACAAACATTTTAGAGGGGACTATAAATCCCAATTCATATCAAGCAGATGACACAGCATCCTAAACTCCTGTGGGTTTAAGAATGGCTAGAGTTCACACACCGGCATCCAGACCATTTGTTTTTGTGTTTTATACAATGCACCCTACCTGTATTTTACATTTCCAATTCCCCATCAATATATCATTGTTGTTCCAATCTCTTTTCCTTCTCTCTTCCCCTCAGCCAGGGGAGCTTGCAGGAGGAAAAAAAAACCCCACAAGAGGCACATTTTGAATTGCGCTGCTGGAGTATGATGCAGTTACTGGAGGTACTGAAGGTAAATAATTGTCACTTTTCCCCCTTTAGGATACACGAGTAGAGCAGGCAGTGAGCCTTGATGGCAGGGATATAAAAATGACTAAAGGATTTGATTTCTATGGATTGCAGCTTCCCTTTGTGGAAGATAACTCATGCAAATACTGCAGAAAGAGGGAATTTGCAAACACAAAGCTTGATTTATATGCTAATTTGCACATAATTATGTAAATGAACAATGCCACCTTTCGATTTGCTGGCACGCTTGTTGAATCATTAAAATACAAACTTTGGTAGCCTGTTGCATGTTTAGATAAGGGCAATTTGCCTAATGGAGATAGCAATGTAGCCTTGGAAAATGATGCGACTTCTCCAAAGTTTTTCATGCTTTCAACCACAAATTACAATGTATTTGGACATCAATGTGACAGACCAACACAACCTCTCCTTACCCTGATATCCCTAAATAAAATCCATGGCAAATAGTTCCTTTTAAAAGTTGATCAATTATTAGGGTTCAGTGCTCTTCTTCCTGCTAAGCTTCGAATAAGTCAAGACCACTAGCACTGCCGAATCCAAACAAAAATGAAAGAATTTTACGTCCACTTTGCAATCATGCACTTCTTTGTGTTAGTCTATCCCATAAACTCAATATTACAGCCAAGTTTGTGTTTGTAACATCTCAAAACGTGAAAAGGTTGCAGAGGTATGAATACTTTAGCATTGTAAGTGTATTCATTGATGACAGAGTGAACTTCATTATGGCTATTTTGGATTAATCATTAATCTAATAGCCCCATAGAAAGAAACAGCATGTCCATTTTGTCTAAATGTAAAGGTAAGTTGTAAGCCTCCTGACCACATATTTTTCTTCTTGCTTGGGTTCTTACCTTGATACTCGAACCTGAAACCTGGTTTGTTCTGCGAGTGGTCACTGTGGAAATAAACTGTGGTCTCGTGGGAGGTAGTGAGAAGAGGTGACGGGACGTCCTGGCCGCTGAATCGACCAATCACAGCACTGGTATCAAGAGGCCCGTTCCGTATCTCTAGGAAGTCGTGGTTGGCCTCCGTTGAGAAGTTAAGGAACTGTACGTGGGCTCCTGGGACAAATAGGGTGGAAAAATAGTTTTGATAACAAAAAATTGGAATTAGAAACTGAAACCCAGTCCTATTGCGCATAATCTTTAATGTGAATGAGTTGCAGAATACGGCCACATTTCGTCTTCTGCAGGTACATAAAAAGTCAACTCGATATGCTCTGAAAGTCGCTGATGATGCTTACCATAACCGACTGGCAGGTATATTCTCCAGGTGCAATCACTGTTGCTAGGGTAGTTGCCAGGGAAACCAGGACTGAGAATCATTCCCTCCATCTCCTCCCGGATTCCACCACATTGTGCTAATGGAGTCCAGACAAAGCATTTAATCAGCATAATGCAAACAATAAACCAATTAAATCAAGAATTTTCCACATTAGTATATGAATGCATACATATACATTCCTGTGTAACACAGTGAGTTGTTTGGCAGTGTAAGTTATAATCTGTCGTGTTTTAATGATTAATTAAATTGAATGCCTTTCTCTTCATTGTATAGATTAGACTACAGGGAAATTGTTCTCTTACCCACCAGAAGAGCACCAAACACTCACACCTATCAGTGAACAAGCAATGATATTAAAGCCAATCATCTTTCTTTAACCTGAGATTAGGTCAAAGCTGCAACAAGTATCATCAAGATCTTTGAATTTCTTTTTGTTTGACCTCTTTCCTAAGACCAATATGCTTTAGGGGTTTCAGGATTCAGATAAATCCCTCCACTGTGTCTAGAGGGCAGGTCTATGGAGACCATTGAAACACAGTTGTATAATAAATAAACAAATGTTTTATGTCTGATTAAATAAAATAGCATCTTATTTTTAATTAAAACAGAATACTGCCCCTTATGAATTAACCAACTTTTCAGAAACGAGAACATCTGTGAAAATTAATTACTTCACGGATTCTCAGCAGAAGGAATATCTTCTGCTCTCAGATCCTGCCCCGAAATTAATACATTAATTAAAAAAAAAAAAAGGATGAGAAGTGGGAATAACAGTAAAACATTCGGCCATCTCCATGGAAATGAGAGACAAGCTGCTGTGGAAAAAAGCTAAATAAATAAATAAATAAATAAAAATAAAAAAATAAGAAACAAATACAATACAGTAGATTAAGAATTAAATAGACAAAAAATGTACAGACGTCAGAGTGGGAAGGAAAAAAAACAGGAAAATGGGGTGTGTGTGGCAGTGTTTCTCAGATAGGGGATAAGTGCAGGGTTGAACACTATCCTGTAGGAGCCAGTTGTAATCAGAAAACTGCTGATGCCTGTAAACACGATGAATCTTCCTCCCGTTTCATCCAATCAGTGTTGAGATGGAACTAATTAGGCAATAGTAGGTTGTTCCAATAAGCACAGCTCATTTGTCAAGGCTATTTCACAGGCAGAAACACTTTACAAAAGAGAGTGGGAACCTAATACATTTTCTTTCATTGAATTCACTCAATTTTCCAAGGTTAAATGCTACATTCATTTGAAAATAAAAATGAAAAAAAAAAAAAAAAATCAAAAACAAAAACCAATTTCTATACCTTTTGATTGCTTTGAAAAGAAGAAGAGGAGGTGTGTGTGTGTGTGTGTGTGTGTGTGTGTGTGTGTGTGTGTGTGTGTGTGTGTGTGTGTGTGTGTGTGTGTGTGTGTGAGGAAGGCCATCTCTGGCATGTGTATGATTTTTTGTTGCCAGAACACGGTGAAGGAAAGGCATAAAGTAAGAAAAAAACCACATTAAAACATATACCAAAATCTGCCATTTAAAGGCTGACAAACCTATACCCTTGATCTTGATTAAGCAGAAAATCAAAAGCACCAAAAGAAACATGGAAAGGAAGTGATGGGGATGCGGGGTAGTAAAAGGACAATGATGCATGAGCTAAATTTTAACGACTGTTTTACTGAAAACTGAATATTCGCCCCCGTTTTAAGTGTTTTGTAGCCTCTAAAATGTTTTCTTTTAAAGTTGGTCTATATTTAGCTCCATACATCTTCCCAACAATCTTCCCTGTTTCCACAGGAGAAGCTAAAAAATGAATGCAGGTCACATTTTTCAGATTTTCATTCAAAATACATGCATCATTTTCCTTCCACCTAACAAATACTTTTGAGTTGAGTTTGTAATTGGAAAGTAAAAGAAAAATGGAAAAAGTTAAAGGGGTTTCAATATTTTAACAAAACACTGTATGACTCAAAATAACAAAGTTGAGTCTTACAATGTTATTTCATGCCACAACGAGCGAGAAGTAGGTGAAAGCAGATTATAGAGCGACAAAAAAGCTTTACCAATACAGAGAGGAGGAGGATAGTTCCACCGTCTGACGGTTCCAGGCATGCAGGTGATGTGAGAATTCCCCTGCAAGGACAGTCCGTGTTAATACACAGAACAACAGATGAATCAAACTGTCACTCATCGGCGGCTGTAATTATTTGAGCCAGCTTCTCTTTTCCAGATGACCATCGAAGGAGGCTACGCGACTACATTAACCAAAAGTGTTGCAAAATATTGCAGGTTCAGCTGTATTTTTGAGATGCTTAAGTATGAAAAATGTACAGACCCAATAGAACGTGGTTACGTAGAATGGGCTTAACAATTTTCTCTGAAATTTGCCTTTCAGAGTTCTGCAACAAAGATATAAACTGCCCCACATTGGAAATGTGTGTATAGTCGCACTAAGATCAAGTGCTTGTTACGACAAACCGAAAGGTTGAGACTTCCTACTGACTTCGGTGTCAAGTCTTTGAACTTCTGGAATATACTCGTCCTCACATCTCTTAATGGGTTACTGCAGCTGGAAGGGTTCACAGGATGTTCAGAAAATATTTAGCTTGAGGAATAATACCTTCATTTTGACTCGCTGTGCTATTTTTATCTATCAGATTTAATGATTTGTAATCAAAGGCGAGAAGAACATTTATTACAATAGAACTTCCTCAAGAAGCAGCAGAAATAAAAAAAAATGAGTTAATAGATCTGCAGCCAATTAAACTCCTACCAGTAATTCATCATTTTTAAAACAGGATTTTGTTAACATATAAGGTGCTTTGGAAAAACGTCCTTTTTATGCTGTGCATCATGGATGAGGTACGCAATTTCACCGTTTGGCTCATCGATGTTCCCCCTGACAGGGCTGGTGGTAAAACACCAAAATCCTGTTTTTCCTCAATATCCCAGAAAAAAAAAAGAAACGGGTTTTAAAAGGCTTGGCTTTGATGTTGGGGATAATTATTTATTCACATGTTTACCATTTATTCAGTTAAATTATTCAGTTTAGTTAAAAGTTATCTTTTCGCTTGGTTTTCAGCATTGGATGTATTTTTATTTATTTATTTTTTTGCTCCAAAAAGCTGTTTGAGGGCTCCATGCCCAGCAGTTGTTGCTATGGAAATGCAATCTACCACAACCTTCTTCCTTGCAGCTTCACTGCAAACAACTCGTGTGCATTGCCGCCGCCCTGTGATACTGTCAGCATTTTGCATGTAGTCATATTTGCAGGTTGCAAACAGCTTGGTAATGTGGCAGCAATCATGCATTGAAAACCAGGTGGAGGGTTAAAACCATGCTGGTTTAGGGAAACAAAATGAACTGCACAATGCACGGATGTGAAGCAAAACTGATTTCTATATCTAATTTGGAAAAAAAGACAAAAACAATGAAAGTGCTTCAAAATTAGATCTAACAAACTAAAGTTAAAACTTTTATTTTCAAAACCACAGCTAAAGGGACCTAATCCTGCCCAATTGTGTTTCCTGGAACTTAAAGTCATGTTCGAGCCATTAAAACCGTGCTAATGATCCCTCTGTGCTCCTAAAAGAAAAACTCAGATGCACCACAAATGGAGTCATAAACTGTTTAAAAAGCACCAAGCCAAAATGTTGAAACAGCGTTAAAAAAAAAAAAAAAAAAAACTTTTCTGCTGGACTTTGTTTGAGGAAGTGACTCCAAAGACATTCTGTCTTCAGGCTTTTGCTTATGGATTAAAATGTATGTTTGGAGTCACTGGGATGCATAACACAATATCAGTCTAATCCCAGCTGTAAAAGTGAATCTTCTGGCAAACAGTGTGGCTCCTGGTTGGATTAATGACTCTAAGAGACCCACTTGCCAAAAAAGGTTTTCTTGAAGTTTTCGATTTGTTTGTGTCAAGGACATTATTCCAGAAGCTATACAGGTTTTTCACATTGATGGTGTTAAGTTTTACCAAAGTTTTAAAAGGTTGTTTTTTTCCTAAAATTTCCTGTCATACATTTCCTAAAGAAAATTAAATCATTTTGCCACACAAAATATAAATATAGAAACTGGTTACAGATTTTGAGATCTAACAAGTTTGTTTTTTCACTTTTTTTCTTGGCATTATATGATCTAACGTAAAGGTGAGCCTCCTGAGGCATTGCTCAACTCGTTCTTAACCATTTTGCTTTAAAATAATAGACTCATTATAGAATACAATCAGTGTTCACACTTGAATTAATTGAGTTGATAATGACAGCCTTTTATTCTATGAAATTAAATATTTACTTGAGGGCTCTTATGAAGATCAGTTTTCTTTCTTAATTGTTGCAAGCATAACTAAATGTAAATTCAGTTAGCACCTTTCAAAAAGGTCAAAATGGAACAAAACCTGAAATGTATGAAAATCGTGACCAATTCTTTTGTTACATTCCTTGGACATTTTTATTTATACACTAACTGTAAAGATGTCATAAAAAAAAACCCATCAATGTAGTTTTGAGGGTCATTTGTGACTGAACTCCATATGAAAGCAGAAGAGTTTACCTGGAGAGTATAGCCGGGTTCACAGTGAAAAGACACCACATTATTCATCTGAAGACGCTCCCCGATCTTGATGCCATTCATGGGAACTACAGGTTCTGGGCAGCTGGTCAGAGAGACGGCTGAAGAGACCAAGAAGAAGAAGAAAACAAAGACGGAAAAAAAAAAAAAAGTCAAACAATTACGCTTCATATAAGAGATTTAAAAGGAAAAATGTGGCATCCTTAAAAAAATACGAGAAGGTATTCTTTAACACCGACTCATGCTTGATCTAAGTGGAATGGCCTTGTGCTTTTCTACTTACTTTTGTATTCCAGCCTGAATCCGGCAGCGGACACGCTAATATCGGAGAAGAAGTGAAGGTAGAGTTGGTTTGAGGTGCTGTTGAGGAGAGCGGGGACCGTTGTACCTAGGAGAGAAGATTAATAGTGGAAGTCAGCAATGCAATCTCCTCCATAGGCTGGCCATGACTTACTGCATGCGTCACTGGCAAACGGCTAAAGAGACAGACTTTTTCACTTCAGTTAGGGGGATTTTTTTTGTAGGAAATTTATGTGCATAACTGACTCCAAAAAAAAGCACAGATTGCCTTGCAAAAGTATGTAAATCTCAAACTTTTTCCTCATGTTTTTCAGGTTGCAAGCAAACTTTTATGCACTTTCCAGGGACTGTGGAAGACATCACAAAGTAGTGTATATACTTTGTAAAACCTGACTGGAGTATGATCTTGCCTGTTACGTAAATGGGTTTTAACCAAGCTAAAGACAAAATTCGCTTTACCTGAGAAGCTGCCCAGGAGTGTGTCAGTGTTGTCGCCTCCATCAAACACCTCCAGTGAGTCCCAGTTCTGCTCCGTGACAAAGCTGATTACTTGGATCTACGAGACCAAAGTAAATACTAGTTTAACACTAAAAAGGGTGAATAGATTCAGGGAGTAGATCAGAAATGGTATGGTTAAAAAAAAAAAAAAAAAAGAAAAAAAAGAAAAAGGAAGCAACTAGCAAAAGCTACAGATAAAGAATAATGAGGTTGAGACGCAATAAAAAATGTATGCAAAGAAGTTTTGGAAGTAATTTAGCTGAAAACTTTTCTAACTTTCAGACCGGGACACATGCAGCTTCTGCAACATTTTTACCATAAAACGGCAAAAAAAAAAAAAAAAAAATCCCACAATAAAAAAGGAATTCATCTTTTTTCCATTCCCTCTTTACTACAGGAGTGGCTAGCAAAATCACTGGGTATAAGTGCTTTAAGCACACCAGGCCTCAGACGATAATTAGACCTGTGAAAGAAATTGAATAAATCTAACAAGGGAGTGTATCTAGTTACTCTCCATTTTTTTAAGAACTACCTTGATGAGCTGTGTTAAAGTTTTAAGCACTCAATTTTCAATAAGAATTACTAAGGGTTCATTAAATGCAACATAGGTATATTAAATAAAGGCAAAATGAGCATAAAGGTACTAAAAACTGTCTTGGATGATGAAAAGTAGCCACTCTGAGGGGAAAGTGCAGGCTCGCAGCTCACAATAGTTGCCCCCAGAAGAAGGATTTAAACTTATATTTGATGGGTTCTGACTGAATTTCATGCCCACCAAAAAATTTGTGAAACTGCTCGAGCGATAGATTAAAATTGATGTTTGACATCAGCCATGCTGTGTCAGCTGCTGCAAATTTACCCTGGGACACTGGTTTAAAATGTATATTCACTCATGCAGTGTTCTCTGTGTCATCCCTCATTTTTACACTTCCTCCATGCCTTCCTTTCAGTTCGCCTCACGCACTCATTCCTCTGCCTTCTTCAGCTGCCTGTGATGGCTATAGATCGGATATGGGCCAATTAAAGGGGCTGCAGGGGCTCTGGTGCACTGGGTTCCTGGGGAGACGAGGCAGATCACAGATTGATCTTTCATTAGGGGGCCGCAGCAAATGTGCCAACAAGGCACCTCGCTCCTCTAAGTTCTCTTTTGGCTCGAGACACTCCAATCTAATGTGTTTCTGGTCGCTGGTAGAAGAGAGCAAGAGAGAGGCCAGCACAAGGAACGTGAAAAAGGAACAAGCAGGGAACAGGGAGCCATCTGCTACTGTGTGTATGAAAACAGAGTACAACCCCCGTGTGTTTAACTGGACAAAGCTTGTAGTTATGAGCATTTTTATTCATGTTGTAATTTGTGCGAAGTGTCGCCATAGTAACTTGTCTGCTCGGACTTTTGCTCGATTTAAAATCAGAGCGTCGGCGAGGTTCGCGGATAAAGCAGAATGCTAAGTGGACCTGTGGCCCGTCTCGTGTGTTTGACCTGCAAGGACACCGAGCTGAGGAGGGGGAGCTAATAGCTGAGGGACGCCACTGAGGTCATTAAGCACAAAGGCTGGAACGCGGGGCTAAAAAACTTTTCCGGCCGGCGCCTCCTCCGGGACCCGGCCCGAGTTCCAGCAAGGTTTCATCACAAACGTATCAAAAAGAATAACAATATGCAAAACCGAGTGAACTCCCAGGAAAGAGAGGCGAGGTAATTGAGGAAGCAGTGACATATAAATTCATTTCGAGTTGAGGGATCTCGAGTTTCTAGAAAATTGATCTTCAGAATTGCATTTGGAGCCTGAGCAAGGTCAGTTTCTAGCCACTGTCTTATACCCAGAGAAGCTAAAATGGTGCCCTTGATATGATGGAATATGGATTCATCAGTGACCCTTTGGAATGCCAATGGCTTGAGCCACATGATGCAGAAGTATTTCTAAAATTTGATAAAAAAAAACAAAAACAAAAACACTTCTGTTCATGTTACATTTGATCAGTGTTGCCAAAATCCTTTTTCATGCCCCGCAGTGATCAAAATTTTTTTTTTTTTTCACGAACCCCATCGACCCCCTAAAACGGAATCCTTAGATGCAGTTTTACCAGTTTGAGAAACAAAAAAATGTCTACATCCAATGGGCCGTCTCTGTCCGAATCGTGTGATACTCCACAATTACAGGGTTGCTTAACTGACAAAGAAAATGCAAAAAGGCCAGCGCAAAATGTTGCACACTAAGACCATTTCAGTAATTGCTCAAGATATCAAGCCCTATAACCTCATTACAAAAAAATGCTGCAAACATTTGACAACCAGTACACAGGAGCAAATTTACACCTTTTTGTCCCCCCACAAAAGTCCAAACTGACAGTATTGCCTGTTTTCTCTGTCTGAGTCTAATTAATATATTTTGAAGGGCAGGTTTGTTTACACAGACTTCATAATCCATTTTATTTGTTTTTGGTTTATTTATGTTGGATAATTAAAGTGTCTTCCAGTTCCAATTTTAAATGTTCTTTAGAAATTAGTATTGATCTTTGAGAGGGTGTACTTGCATTAATATGCCATTATTATTATATAATTTAACAAAACAACAATTTTACCATTTATCGCAATCATTTCTAGGATGGTATATTGTCCAGCAAAATGTGTTATTGCGACAGGTTTACGTGTTACTTTATATAAAGATTCACACTCTCTTATCAGCAAGCCTCAAAGATGTGCATTCAATTCTCTGTTGAAAATATGAAGGGCTTACTTCAAAGGGCTTATTTTCGATATCATATGTAAAAGTCAAACAAACGCAGATTTGTATATACCGTTACATATTTTGTGCTGCCAGAAATCGGCACATTCCATCCATGTGTGACAATCCTAACGTCCGGGAGAGGTGTGAGAACACTGAGCAAATAAATCGACAAACAAACCTGGATCCCCGATCCTTCAGGAACAGTAATCTTCCACACACAGTTCAGGCTGTTGAGGTAAGGTTCAGGGTAGCCTGGAGATAAGATGGTGCCAGTCCGATGGGTCAGATTACCTCCGCATGGAACTGCAGCAAGAAAAGGAGCAATTTTTATTAGCTTAAAAGATGGAAGAAGCAGCATAGCTGAATATTGCAATGGTAATATGATTTTTCAGCTACCGCTGTGCTAAAAACACTCTGTTTAATCGGCCTTTCACTTTGTGTTTTGAACATCAGAATTATGATGCATGTCTCGCATCAATGACGTAAATGTCGGATAAAATGCATCACAGTCGATCAGACTGCAGACACTTTGAAAAGTATCGCATATGTCTCTTCTTTAATGCCATGTACTGTAGTGGCATTGAAGATCAGACTTCTTTTGGTGTGAAAAGATAATTGGGTTGTTCAGATTGTAGACAAACACTTCGATATAGATTACATTAGGGTAAAAAAAAAAAAAAAGAAAAAAAAAAAGAAACCTGTGTACTGTTTATTCCATTTCACAGCAAAACAAACTGTGGGTTTTAACGTACATTGTATAATCCCAACAAAATGCATGGAAATTTGTGGATGTAATATGTAATGTTCAAGTGCTATGGAAGATTTTTCAGTGCGCTATATTTTTGAGACCTGTACTACAAACTTTTTAGACAAAGTTTATGATGAACAAGCCTTGCAGGGTACATCCTTTAATTCCCCAATCATGACAACAAGAAAAAGTTGCGCCAAACACCTCTCCTGCCGACTGTCATCTATATTCATCAGATGAGTCTTTCCTGCCTTTTGTGCCAAATTCACATCTGGTGACAACATCTGCTTGTGTTACGTCCTGTGTGTGTGAAGACCATGTGTTATTGTCAATACTGTCCATGTTGTCATGTCTGTTTCTATCGGTGTGTATTTTTGACCCCGAACATGGCCTGCACCTGTGTGCCTCACGGCTAAATCTCTCCGCATCAGTGCAGGTGATGGCCTGCAGCTGACAGCTGTGAGAAGACAGGGTTTTAACTCTTAGGGTGTCACATGAGAAGCAGACACAGAGCAAACAAGGGAAAGCTGGTTCTGGTTAGCAAACAAGCTAATTAGTGAAACTGAAAGGAAGTGGAAAAAGCTGCAAAACCGCCCCCCCAACAAAACAAAACCACACAGACTGCTAAAAATAGTTTAATTGTAAGCCGTAAGTGTTTGATTTTAGCATTGATTTCCTACCGATGCAGCTGGGTATGGAGCTGTTCCACTGTGCCAGGGCATTGGGGACTGTTAAGCATTCAATGGCACTCGATCCCTCCAGGATGTAGCCAGGGCTGCACTCAAAGCGGACCACCGCGCCAACGGCAAAGTTGTTGCCCATGCGCCGACCGTTCCGTGGCTCAGGGACTGAACTGCATTGGGTGGCGCTGGTCCTTGGTACCGCTATGAATGGGGGGGGGGGAATAAAGAGTTTGCATGGGTTTTAATAAGTTACTTTTGATAAACAAGATCTCACTGCTTATAAAGCAAGTTAATACTTAGTATGATGAAATAAGTGATACGAAAACAGCTTCACCTCGTCTTGGCAGGCCATCATTTCATTTACGATATAAATGCAAGACTAAATTATTTATTCATTAAACTTTCTCAAGCGCTGACTTTGCCTTTGGATAGCTGTGGTAAATGTCACTACTGCTACAGTACATTGTTTAAGGAAAACAATAACAGAAAATAGAAATCCCTCTACACTGTAACCCCACCCCTCCGCCCCCCTGTAGTCACCACAAGTAACTAAAACAATGGCTGAAGTTAATTAATTCAGTCAATAATTCACAAGTCTCTCAATACAGGGAGAGGCCTGTGTGCCAGTGGGCTCTGCACTTACCCTGATAGACCAGATGGAATCCTCTGGAGCTGGATTGGCCTTTAGCTGTAAAGCGGATCAGGATTTGATTGGAGGTCGCTAACGGCAACGACTCACCTGAGAGAGAAGGCAGGTTTTAAGCAAAGGGCAACCTTGAGGGCTCCGTTTCAATGGGTGCATATTGTCAAAAGATTTCAAGGTAATATTTTGTCGTTTGCTGCTATGTGTTGATGCTAATGAGTCATGCAAGTAGAAAGAAAAATATATTTTTTCATTTGCCGACTTTGAGACTGCAGTTATTGTAAGCTCAGTAAAATGTGCTGCTGCTGCGAAAGGCTTTTATTAAAAAAAAATAAAAATAGGGACTAACTTTTCAGTAATAAGTAGCATGATGGTACCTGGTAGAGATTTCACAATATAATTCTACATGAAAATCCCCCAATATTTTACATCAAAGGGAAATTAGTCCCTTTTATCTAGTTGTTGCTAGTAGGTGCATTTGACTGGTGGAGTAATCCCAAGCTTTTATTATAAGCCCCACATATAAAAGTGAGTAATTTAAGCATAAGATGGTTGTATCCATGCATCCAGCAGCATTTTGGAAAGCCTATGGAAAAAATATATATAAACAAGATGAAGATGGTTTGTAAATACAGAAAAAAAAGTTTATTTGGTTAAATGTAGATGCTAACAAAACTAAAATTGGTTTCCATTTCAGGCTGCACTTCAACAGATCATTTAAATTAACGAACTGCATTTAATCATCTCTAGTCTAATTGAAGAAAAATAAAGAAATCGATCACTTTGAGTTTAAGACACCTTTGTTTTACTTGAAGATACACAAAAGATTTATGTTTTTAAACTTTTCTGGCATTGTGAAGACTTTAGAAATAGTCAAATATATATATATATTAAAAAACTACAATGTACAATATGTACAAGTCAGATCTGGACTGGAGTATTTTACACTTACTGTAGATTATTTAAAACAGTTCAAAAAGAAAGCAACTAAATCAACTGAGAACATAATTAAACTATTGTTAGAATATATATATAAAAAAAAACAATTCAGCTAAACCGAAGCTAGTCTCATTCTTGTGAAGCCCATATTTTAAACTGTCTCGTCTTATTACCTGTATGTATTGCTACACATTCCACAAGGTGAAGCAGCTACATCGTATTTTTATACCGAGCAAATTATTTATAAGAGGGAATTATTAATAGACACACAGGAGTGAAGCTCACACTTTCAGCACTCTTAGACATAATGGCCTGCAGGGCCTTATTGAATACAACAAAGATTTGTATTTCTTGTTTCTTAATGTTCGGTTGTCCATTTTAGCACCCATCCTTCCTTTTTTTTTTTTTTTTTTTTTCCTCCAGTAAAGCAGCTTGAGGTTCCTCATATGTGAATAGGGCTTCACAAGTATGGGAGATTCTTACATCGCCTAATATCAGGATATTACTTAGACTTACAGTCAAATCTACAACTAATCGTGGCTTGGAGCTAGGAAGTTGGAGCCTACGCCTCCCTCTGTGTCCTCCTCTTCTAAGGTCAAAGTGATTTGGCTTATTTTCTATGTCTTTGTTGACAATATCTCCTAATGAGCAGGTCATTACTGACGTGTCTGCATTGATTAGGAACAGTGTGGCAGGTGCTCAAGATGTGGCTGGAAGGACTACATCCCTTGTTGGCTGTAATTCACTGCCATGTAATCAAGATCAAGGTTGATTTTTTTTTTTTTTTACCTGCTGCTTGCGGCCCTCCACAATCAAGCACCTTCTTATGTTAACTGCAGATTGCAGAGGCAAAAATCAAGGGCCCCCTGACCAGGACTGATGAGATTTTTAAGGATATAAAAAGTCAAATAAATAACTTTGAATAAATTTCCTTTTCACAAAACACCACAATTTAGTGTGCAATTGTTAAAAATCCAAGCAACCAATTAGCTCATTTCTACTCAGAAAGTAAAAATGAGCATTTAGATGAAGCTCTTGTTTGTACAGTTTACCAAGAAAAAAACACACGTGCAAATGCAGAATTAAAATTCAGCCCTCATTAAATTAATCTCAGCCGAAATATCTGACATGAAACAGTCAAATACTGTACATAAGCCACATAGCAGACCAAACCAGCGTAAGCATTGAATCTAGAATAACTACAGAGATCCAGACCTCAAGAGGTGGAATCTGACATAACTGTTTGAAGGAAACTCCTCACAGTTGGTCTCCATGAATGAGTTTTGTTGAAAAAAATCTGTTAAAGTGCTATTTGTATGTTTCTACAGAGCAAACATGTGAAAGAAGATACTCTAGCGAGACAAACAAAACAGTTTGAAATGTAGAACACTATCTGCAGAGACCAATTATGCTGCCCGTCTCCTTGAACACACCATCCCCATGGCGAAATGTGATAATGACAGCATCATGCTGAGGGGCAGCTTGTCCTTGGCGGAAACAGGCAAACTACAGTACTCTGAGCTGATGGTACTAAAGACAAAGGCAGCACAATTCTGGAAGAAAGTGTGTTAAAAGCCAAGGGGAAAAGAAAAAACAGCAACAATCCTCCCCACCACCTCCCCCCCAAAAAACAAGACTGAACCAGAGGTTCACATTCCAGGAGAAATGCAACCATAAAGATACTTTAGATGAAAGTAGGGCTGTAGCAATATGGTGTAGAAATAAAATTATACATTTTTCATTCTCTTTCTTTTCATTCAAACAAAAAAAGTATTTTCAAAAACCTGCTTTTATTTCAATTATTCCCTCAGGGAGTTGAACTGAATTCAAAGTCCAGCTGTGAAACATGCTCGTAAAAAAAGACGGCAAGTCTGGGGTGGGCCGGCATCATACTGAGCTATGGAAGCCCACAAAGCATATTGGTGGAAACATAAAAACAAAACAAAAACAAACAAAAACAACAACTTCATTTTCAAAAAATGTAATAGTCTTAACAGCAAATTCAGTTAATTGATCATTTATTTATTGCCTGGCCTTAGATCAAAGCACATTCATATGCAAAGTCCAGACCCAAGTCTGGTTGAGTATTTGTCAAGACTTGAAAATTGCTGTTCACCAGATACTCACTGTCCAGTGCAGCAGCTCTGGTGACACTTCAGAACTAAGAATTGGTAGAAATGTGCAACGTTGAGAGAGCTACCTCAAAAGACATCAACTTGTTACTGCCGCAAAATATTTTCCTGAGTTTTAAAGCCATGCGTGTTCGTCCTTTCCAGCGATGGACTATTTTGTGCTGTTGTGAATAGATTAAAAAGTCCCTGGCATATTAATACTTTCGTAAGACGCTGTATGAGTGCACGACAACATAAAAGATTTATCACTGTAAACAATGACATAGGAAGAAAATATGTTTTTAATGTATACGTTGAAGTGACTTTTTGAATCCTCATTAGCTTCCCCTGTAATTACACACAAAAATCCCCTCATTGTTGTCAGTCAACACATTCCCCCCACCCCCAAAACATGATATGAAGTGTGGGCACCTCAGTCTCTGCTTCTCTTTCTTACTCTGTTTGAGCTGCCAACTGGCTCTCTGCAGTGAATCTCATTACTCTATGTCTGCTTGCTGTCACACTCTAGTGGGAGGTAGACGCGGTTAACCCCAGAGGCAGCATCTGTGTGTGAACTAGTGAGTCTATATTTTGTGCAAAAGTTTCGCTCAGTTTTTTGGTGTCGTTTCTGAAAATTTAAATGCAGTGGGTCCAAATTTCAAATACCTAATAATGAATCATCATTGTTACTGCTCCGCTTTCACTACAGGACTGCTGAGGCATGCTGGGTGGTTTATTAGAAGAAGTACTTCAAACAAGGCTATACTTGGGTTGGCGTTTCATAATTTGCCCTGAGTGGCAGGTATTCATCCACGCGCACCAAAGGCATGTCAGCATGAAACTGATCTGACCGGCGGCAACTTTCCAGATCTGAACCAGTTTGCAACGAAGCGATTTTCTGCTCTGGTATATGGAAGGACTGACAAGGACAGATTTGACTTTGTCTGGAATTCGGCGATCAAAATTCAGAGGCAGTTGATTCAGATACGAGCATCATGAAAAATAATGTGAAAAAATTACTGCTCCAGCTGTTGCATCAATTCAATCAGCTTTAGAGAGAGAAGAAGAAGAAGAAAAAAAAAAAAGATGAAGCCCTGTGGGAGCTACAGCAAGCAGATTTTACATTTTCTGGAAACAAAGTTCTGAATTTATTTAGCAGCATGCTACCAGTAAAACAGAGGCAGAAAAATGCACACTGGCAATATAACTGGTCAAACTTTAATAGACTCCTCAGTCCCTCGTGTTAGATGACCATGAGGGTGGAAATTGCCTTTTTTTTCCAATGAGTTTGAAAATTTGCATTTAGATAAGTCTTCTTGATTTCTTTATTCAGAGCTTTCATCCAATCTTGCCTACATGCTGTCACCTTCTTCTAATTCCCACCTTTTATTGTTCATTTATTCTTCTTTGCCTTTTCTTCTTTTATTCTGTTTGTCCCCAATAATTCACAATCATTGCCTTTTCTTCTCAAAGATTGCCTTTCCTAGGCATCTGAGAGTGAGTAACATATTGCTGAATGCATTAGTCTGACTAATTTAATGTAATGTGCTTTCTAAGGTTAACTAATAACAGTGAATTGGCTTGTGTTTTGATTACTGTAATTTTCTCAGCCTGACAAATAACACATAACCATTCAGTAAAAAAAATAAAAAAAATAAAAAAAAATGAAGTGAAATATTAACTGCGCTCAATTACACATTTTAGAAATTGACAGAAAGTGGGATTGGATTTGAAAGATTGTAGATCTGCGTAATTCTATGCTTTGCTTTCTGCACACCTGTTTGGTAGGTACAGATAGAGAATATCGGTTTATAGACACCTTAATGACAGTTACAAAGCAGCATAGTGCAACACAGATGTTTCTCTTTCTTAAGTACATCAGGTCTGCCATGTTTGGTTGGATAACTCAGTGAACCCGTCACCCAAAGTACTTAGTTATTACAGCATCTTGTTTACTGAACTGCAAATTGACTTTTCTAAGGCTGTGTTACACTCAAACCAAAATATTTGTATCCCTAAGGTTAGCGAGCCGAACTGAACAAGAACAGTTTCTCAAAGTAAAAATTGGAATCAAATGTATCTGAAGTTGAGATATAAAATATTGTATTTTGAATGACAATTAATGTATATTCATACACATTTTTGATAAAACATAAGTTCTTGGTTGCAAAGCCGTCATTAAATTATAGTATGTAACTTTATTGATTGTCTTGTTGATACAGAAAGTAAGCATGGATGTGTCAATGCTGCATGTTCAACAAAGTGCCTACATGTAGGTACGTTATGATGTAAAACGTCAATGCATTTTTTGTGGTAGCCCAACACAAAATTGTGAAGTTGAAGGAAACTGATGCTCGTTTCTTTTGTCTGACATAAAACTCAAGTTTTAAGGCAAGGTTATATAGATAAACAATATCACAGGATTTAAACATTTCATGGAGCATGATTCCATCCATCTATTGATCCATCCATCCATCCCTGCCTGTCTGTCTGTGAAGGGTAAAGTCTGTCTCCTTATCTAATGACAGGCTGGTTAAAAAAAAAGGAGGCCCATGGTATTCTGCAGGTATTAATAATATGGGCTTAATAATACACACAAAAGAAAAAACAAAAACATTTTTGAAATGAATCCATAAAAGTCACATTTGAACAATAAATGTGAAAGAAGCTAATCTGCTCTGATAACATGTAACTTTCTGGCACACAGAAAAGCCTAGCTGTGCTTGGAAACCTAACACTAGTCATGACTCAGATCACATTAACTCCATGCTAAAACATGTTGGTCATAGCAACATGCTATACATTTTTTTTGTCTTAAAGAAAAGGAAGATGGTCAGAGTTGAGGATAAATGACACTAAATACAGGACAAGATGAGCAAAACTTGTTAATGGCTGCAGAATACTTGACAGAGGGAGATATGCTCAACTATGAGCAGAAAATGACTTGAAGCAAATATTCAGAAATACATATTCATGGATTATAATTCAAACATATTTATGCATTGTAATAACCTGGCAAAATTCAAACTTAAATTCAACTGAAAATTTCTGGCAAAAGTGAAAAGAAATTGCTGCAGTAACTATTCACCCAGTGAAACCGCTTGAACTAGCAAAACTATTCCATCTCTCGATAAACTAATGTTAACAAACCTCACAAGATTTGACAACAAAATGTACAAGTCAGTACAGCTGAATGAAAAGGCATTACATTTTCAAATTTTTGTTTTGAAAAAAGAAATGAATGATTTTCCTTCACATTCCACTATTCTTCACCACTTTGAAGAAGTGGAGCAGACGGATAGATGTATGGCTCAGAAGGCAAAGTGGCTCTTTGTAAGGCCACTTTGCCTTATAAAGCTCCCAACAAGAAACCTGACAAAAAGTAGCCACAACATTTTGGATGTGCAAAGGTGCTGAACCTTTGCACATCCAGACAGCGGCACACTTAACCATGATGAATGTCAAAGCCAGCTATTTTCAACTTTAACTTTTATGAATTAGATAGACTTGAATAAGCAGAAGCCATAGTTATATTAGCAAAAACAACTTGGGATAACAATCGCACCATGCACCTCAGTGTGATTAGGTGATGTAGTTCGATACAGATCACTATAAAAATGCATGTACAATACCTGTGTGCGCTCCAGAAAGTGAGCTGAGAACCCGGGAATGTTGTGTTGGTCCATCATAAACCTCCACTATGTCATTCAGAGCAGTCTGGAAGAAGGCGAACTGGCTGAACACCACTGGGAAAGAGACGCAGACAGAGCAAGGAACAAAAGATGAAAAATGAACCGAAAGCGCTGCCTGCAAGAGTCACAGAAAATGCTCTTCAGTTTATTTAAGATGACTAAAGACTCATAAAAATAGTGCTCTGCTTTATCCAGATTTTTTAAAAAGAAGAGGGTTATCAACAGCAATTTCAGTCAAGATTATGCTGACAGTTATGATAACAAAAACCAAAAACCGACATTACAAGGGGGATCAGGAAACCTGTCTGGGCTTGATGGCCTGTCAGTACGCAGGGATTTACAGAGACAGGCAATCTGTCAAATGATGTGGAGCTAAAACTCCACTACAGAGCTTTCATCGTCTTAACCAAGATGTAAAACCGGTTTTCCTTTAAGAAAAGTCAGGCTTTTTATAGTCAATCATCTAGTTTTTTATAAAAGGAGCTGGTTAAAGAGGAGGACGAATAAGAGAGAAATACTCAACAGAGGCAGTATGGATAATGGTTACCTACTTTTTGATGGTCCCCTACAGTCTTCTATTTTCAACAGGACCCAGCATTGGGAATTTTCTCCCAATTTTAAATATGTTCTTGCACATTTCTATTATCATTGTCAATAAGGTAAAACCATTGGTCACAGTGATACCCACCCAGCCATCCGCACTGGGTAAAATACCCTATTATTAGCCTGGCGCATGAGCCTAATGAGAAGCTGGAAGAATGAAGAAAAAAAGCTTTTGCTTTTCTGCACGACAAAGTGAGCTGCCTTGGGCTTTGCCGTCATTATCCAGGAAAATGCAAATGTGAATTTTAATCATTTCAATTTTATTTTATTTTTTTTCTTTCTCACTGTGACCTCAGTCAGTGAAATACGCAGATGATTGGGTTCAAGAGAGGTGCATAAAGGCTTCAACAGTCAGAAGACAGGGGTGAAATAAACCCAAAGTCAAACACAAGCTGATGCTTTTTTTTTGTGGGGGTAATTTAACCATGACAGGAGCTTTTCCCAGAAGAGACCTGATGCTGATAACTCATTAAAAAAAGCCTGTGGTTGGAGGAAAAGTAGAGATAAAAACCGAGCAAGAGCAAACAGTCTGCTTGAGAATGTGATGCAGAGAGACATCCTGGGCAAGTAAGCGAAGGCCATTTTGAATTGATTCATTTGAGCTGTATTCAGCATTGTTTTGCCTTCCAAATAATTTGATGCCTGTGTAGTATCTGATAAGACATTGGAGGGAAAGGATGACCTTTAAGATGGAAGAGCCAAAAAACAGGAGTGTAACTCAAGAAAATATGAAGCTTTCAGGCGGCAATTATATATATTTTTTGTCTGTGCTTGTGTGTAGGCGTGTTTTTGATAAACACGGTGAATAAGTAGTGTGCTTCGTAATGAAGCACACTACTTATTCTACCGATGTACCGTGAAAGATAAAAAAAAAAAGAAATGTAAGTCCTGTGGAAATGCTTCTGTCAGTCACTGTGTGATTTTACTTTTGAGTAGAATAAAGTAGGATACATGCATTCAACAAAGCTCTCAGGAGTAGCAGCTTGATTAGAGGTGAAAAAGCAGCGACTGTGTGAGCTTTTAACAGTTTAACACCAGATTGCTTTCGTGTGCCTTTCCTGTCACTGAGAATATTCAGATACCGGGGAAAGAAAAAAAAAAAAGAGTTTCCCTCTGTTTTTTCCAGTAGTAAGAAAATAACACAGTTCAGTAAGGAAGAAGAATATAGTTTCTGTTTGATCACAGCTTCTTGGGGGGATTGCTGAATGATTTTATTATAAACAAACACAAATAACCCACTTTACAGACTCCCACACAAAAACAACAACAACAAAAAAAAAACAAAAAAAAACAAAAAAACATGGCTTACCATAATCCTTGGGCACGACTACAGAGTACAAACAGGTTCGAGCACTGGTATAGTTGCCAGGGAAACCGGGGGACAAGACTACTCCCTCTAATCCGGAGTACTGTCCACCACATGGCGCTGCAGAGAAACATGGGGATCAAACATGAAGAGGGACCATAAAGTGGGAGCAGGCAGACATAAAAGGAAGGTCTAACGGTAACAGGGGAAGGTTCCATTTCTACTCCTCTCCATCCTCTCTGTTCCATCATTCCTAAATTACTTTTCTTGTGTGATTGGGGTTTGGATGGAAGATGTCCCTGGTGGTTGCCACAGTGAAATTGCCATGTTTTCCAAGTGTCCATCTGGGTTAGCCTGGGTGTGATGAGGCCAGAGCCTCCTCTCCAAGTTAAAGCCCCTGAAAATGCTCTGTGCGAGCTTGGATATTTGTAGGGCTGCTGTCCAGAGGTATCTAAATATATGTGAAGATCACTTAAAGGTCAATTTACTTCCGCAATAACACTCATATGATAAATAGAATTTTCCCTCCAAGTGCAAATGTCTAGAGTGTCGCTAGAAATCGTGAAAGCCAGATTGCGGCGCACTTCTAACAGGTTTGGCTTTGTTGTGTTGGTAAACTCCATGCTCTCTGCTGCTGCTACTGTTACCGTTGTTTTTTACTGTGTTGTTTCTTCTTAAACTGTGAAAGCAGTTTGAGAAAATGCAATGCTTCTGTGCACAGCATCCCCCACCACATAGCTCTGTATTAAAACAGTGATGTTGATTTTTTTTTTATTTTATTTTATTTTATTTTATTTTGGAGTGTGAGCCAAAACGCCTATGAACTACTCTCTACAAGCCCAGAAAGATTGAAATGAGTTCTTCCACTTATTCTCGGCAGCTCGTATGGGATGCCAGTAATGCCCAAGTGTTTTTTGTGGTTCTATCGGATTTTGCGCTCAATGCAGAATCCTCTAGGATGAACAACACAGCAGGTTTACTCCACATATGTAATAGTGGCGTTTCTTTGTCTGTATTGTGGCTAAAATATGCTCTGAACCTTTAATTCAATTCAGTTAAAAAAAGTATTGTGTTAATCCCAGAAGGAAATTAAACATGTCCATATTTTTCTCAGTTCACATTTTTCTAAAGAGGAAATTTAAAGCAGATATGGGTAAGAAAAACATAAAATAAAAATGATGCTCTCCATAAAACACTCTTAACATTTTTTTAAAACAGAGTTAATGACTATTATGCTGAAAATAACTGGTTACGAGGGCTTCCCAATATTCAATGTGTTCTCAAATATATATTTTTTAACATACAAACTGCCTCGTCGAATCACATAAATTTGTATTCATGGATTCAACTTTTTTACATAATATTCAAATTTTATGACAAAATTAATTCAGGGCTTTCATTAACTGTAAGCCATAACCATTAAAGCTAACCGAGATAAACAGACAGATAAAGATATCTCACTCTGAGGAAAAGACCTACGCAAGTGATTTTAGTATCAAGCCTTATGATTTTGTTTAGCAACCGTTTCTCAATTAAAAACAGGATGTAGAACTTTCTGAGTTGAATTATAGCCATCCAGTCATATTTGAATGTCCCTGGATGTCAGTGGATTTGTGTGACTGAACTGGATTGTACAGCCAGTACAAGTGTGTAGCAAGCGTTCCACCCGACACGCCGAGTCTGAAGCAGGTTCTGTGCTGTCAAGGTATCTTTTACCAGCTTTCCAGGGGTTCATGCATTGCGTGCGGTAGCTGTGTCAAAGGAGTATCAGAGAGTGACGCAGTTCCCTCTGAGTGTAAGGGGAAGATATGCAAAGCAGGCTGCTCTCTTCTGAAACTTCAGAATAAATCAAAACTACACTTGCATATTTTCACAAAACCCACACAGCTCGGCAAATATGTACCTGCGGGACATATCTCAGTAGAAACGCAACACATGATGATTTAGCCATATGAATGTTTACGTGCGATAAACCTATAAGCGCGAGGCATGGTTTGTGCTCTGAACAATCAACTCCAGATGTCAGTGTTTACCCATGCAGATGGGTTTGGGCTTGTTCCAGCTCGGCTTGCCGTCTCCCCCCATGATGCAAGTGAGCGTCGGGTCTCCCTCCAGTGTGTAGCCGCTGTCGCAGTGGTAGGTGACAGTGGAGCCCAGCTTGAGATCGGTGCCCACCCGTGTCCCGTTACGAACCAGGCCAGGTTCGAAGCAAGATTCCCTGGGGTTTTCTGTGGCGAGAAGAAACAGAGAGGAAACTCTGTGACAGATGGAAGCACGTGGTTTTCAATAATGATTTTTTTTTTTTTTTTTGCTGCACTAGATATGCTGGAATAGAAAATGTTATGCGCCCGAGGGTATTTATACACTTGGTTTTCCAACTCCTTTTCTTTATGGCTGTTTTTTTTTTTTTCCTCCCCTGTTTTCCCAGTTTTCTGCAACTCTGTGCTCTGTCCAGCTTTCAGTAAATATATCTCAATGACTGCCACTTTTTCTCCAGCCCTTGACACTAGCCTCTCATCTGTGGCTACTAGGGTATGTATGGTTGTGAAAACAGACAGGCAGCTGATTGAAAGTGGCATGGCTCTGGCCCAAGGTCTGCTGACTGTACACAACCGCTTCTCAAACAACATTTCTCTGTGCTCTTAACTTGAGAAGACAATGCACATACGCGAGCTTTCTTTATCAAACGCGCGCAAATACACGCCCTGCCCTGCCAAAGCTCCCTCTCACACGCTCTGCATTTAACCACATATCAATCACCAACCCTGAGGTCGTAAGATAGATGTCTTGCTTAATTTAGCAGCACATTGTTCTAGGTGCAAAATGTGCATGTGAGATGCAGCCTGTCAATTTGGCACACTTCACACCCTTTCAGCTAAGATAAACATAGGAAAGATGCCCGAAGCCATTTAGTTCACTCCTAAGCACAGCAGATTCGGTTCTCAGAGCAAACTTTAATATTTGATGACTTGACACACAAAAGAGAAGGTGGGTCAAAAGTTTTTCAGTTGTAAGGGGAAAATAAATAAATAATAAAAAAATATCACCTAAAACTCAACACATGACAAAAATATGTAAAATAGTCTGTCAATAATTTGATGAATACAAGCTCCGAACAGAAAAAAAAAAAAAAGAAGAGAGGCATCACTGGAATTTCATTGAAGGTGAATATATATATATATATATATATATATATATATATATATATATATATATATATATATATATATATATATATATATATTTTTTTTTTTTTTTTTTTTTTTTTTTTTTTTAAAAAATTTAAAAGTTTTTGTTTCTCTTGTCTGGCTTTTTTAAA